TGTGTGTGTGTGTGTGTGTGTGTGTGTGTGTGTGTGTGTGTGTGTGTGTGTGTGTGTGTGTGTGTGTGTGTGTGTGTGTGTTTGTGTGGGCCCAAGGAAGGAGGAGGGGGTGTTATTCCTGGATCTGGATTAACGCCTCACTGATTGTGTGCTACACACTCTTGAATAGGCTGTGTATTGCTCTGAGACAACACTACAATATTAACAGCTGACACACTCTCTGCTGCGGGAATCACACAACATTGCTGTTATCGCTCCACATCTGTATAGGAAAGCTGTGTATCCCAGTAATTGCAGTCTAAAGCAGATAACCTTGCTATAGATTCAAAGGTCTCTTGTTATCTATTTTTTGCAAGTACCTTTCGTCTTCCTCTCCTCCTCGCCTGCTATCTTCTTCCCTCCTCTCTTCTTCCTATTCTTACGTACTCCTACTCTTCGTCCTTACCCTACTGTCTTCTCATCACTATCTCTTCTTCTTCTCCACTTCTTCCTGTTATCATCTTAGTCTCTTAACATTACTTAATGCTAAGCATTACACGTCTACTGTGGGTATTTGCTCCTTAACTTCCTCTGCAAGCCTGGTCGAGGACCGGGCCGCGGGGAAGTTGAGCCCTGAAATCCTCGCAAAGTAAGGTAGGAGAGAGGATTAAGCATTATATTGCCGCGGTTGATACCTGCGCTATGTAGGGCACTGAGCGCAAAAGCCCGCTACTGGATGCTGGGGCTGGTGTGGGCTGTTACACGCACACCGCCCGTTGACAGTGTACACAATGTTGTTGTTGTTATAGATTCAGCTACTCGGAACAAGTTCCAAGCAGCACGGGTTATGGTGAGCCCGTAACTTACCTGGCACAGGAGCGGGGCAAGTAGCACGGGCTATGGTGAGCCCGTAACTTACCTGGCACAGGAGCGGGGCAAGTAGCACGGGCTATGGTGAGCCTCTGGCAGTGCACACAAGATTGATTTTCGATTTAGACTTGTCCAGTGTTGGAAAACTCAAATTATCCCGTAATTATGCAATCCTTAGCTTTAGGGTTTTTCCAGGACATGGGGGAACTCTTTCCTTGGGGAAGGAGTCCTGATCTTCCCAAAGAAGCCTCTTTTATTTTTTTAGTTATTTTATTTATTTATACAAGAGTTCTTACATTCTTGTACAGCCACTAGCGCGCATAGCGTTTCGGGCAAGTCCTTAATCCTAATTTTCACACATACATATCCCCAGAAAGCAGCCCGTAGTAGCTGTCTAACTCCCAGGTACCTATTTACTGCTAGGTGAACTCAGAGTGAATGAAACTCTGCCCATTTGTTTCCGCCGGGGATCGAACCCGGATCCTTAGGACTACGAAACCCGAGTGCTGCCGACTCAGCCGTCAGGCCCCAAGTCTCACTTGAGGCAGCTCCTCCCCCCCCCCCACCAACAGAGTACACAGGTATAGGTAGCCTGCGGCCTATAGGATCTCGGCAGGTGATAGTCCTTAATTAAGCCTTAATACCTGACCTAAATACCCAGCCAACCTTTGTGGTGCTGCTCCACTTCTGGCCGTCGTTCTCGACTCACAACCAGGGATCCCGGGTTCGATTCGGGGGGAATGTGGGGTGGACAAATGGTTGGGCACCTTTCCTTTCATCTAATGCCTCTGTTCACCTAATGGTAGCTAGGTACCCGGGAGTTAGGCAACTGTATATATATATATATATATATATATATATATATATATATATATATATATATATATATATATATATATATATATATATATATAAGCTTACTTTCCCCGACAAAAGGAATTATAATAATAATAATAATAATAATTATTATTATGCATGTATAGCCATCCTATGAACGGTAGTGAAAAGGTTAGAGAGGCACTTCAGGTCTGGTCAGAGACCGGGCCGCGGGGATGTTGATCCTCGGAACCAACAACAGGTAGCTCCCTCACGGTCTGCCTGTTGTTTAGCTGTGAACTATGACTGCCTGTTGTTTAGCTGTGAACTATGATCATAGAAATGACATATTTCTCTCAAGAGATGTTCAGAAACCTATTGTTTACTACCATACCCGTCTCTGGCACTAAATCTTGTCGCTAGGCTCGTAGTAGGCTTCCGCTGGACGGAAAAAAAATGGCTGTCGTGATGTTTATATAACGTATAATCAAAGGTATTCTTTTATCAGGCACCAGGGGGAATTAATTAATAAAAGAAGTCGAGTTTTTTTATAAATTATGTCTTCACTTCTGCATTATATAAGAGAATAAGTGGCTCATATTAACCTATAATTTTAATCAGTAAATGGGCATGCAGCTTCTGCCGCAGATGTACCAAGTGCTGAGCTGGTAGGAAAATAGTTTTACAAATATTAACCCTTAAACATCGTAATGTGTGTGTATATATATATATATATATATATATATATATATATATATATATATATATATATATATATATATATATATATATATATTTATTTATTTATAACAGTATCAGTCTAAAATATTAAATAAACAAAAATAACAGTTGCTCCATCAACTAAGCAATTACCGCGTCAAATCTGATATACTAAATATCTCATTCGGATATCGCAACTAGATATCGGAGTAGGTCCCACATAACATAGTTTAGATACGTACTATTGTGATTATAAAAGCAAATACAACGTTCATCACTAATCTCTTGCTCAATAATGCATGTCCAAACACAAACAGTATTGGGAAAACATCATAATAGTGATACAAATTATCATTAATCAAAGAATAAATACTAAACTCAGTAAAGGTCTGAGTCTTAGTCAGAATATGCACCATTGTGCAAGGGAGCTCTGTAATCACTTACCTGCAAATACTGCAATAAAATCACTGTGACCACGTAACAGAGAATTGCAGCCTAACACAGAAATCCCTGAGCGAATCCAGGGCCTCAGTCAATCCGCATACCCCTACTTTGTGTAGTCACAAGCTACACAACCTTGTGTAGCTTCCGGGGATCAACGGCCCCGCGGCCCGGTCTCCGACTAGGGCTCCTGGTTGCTGGACTGGTCAACCAGGCAGTTGGACGCAGCTGCTCGCAGCCTGGCGAATGAATCACAGCCTGGTTGATTGATGAGCTAATCAACCTCTCCTGGCTTCAGCTGATAGGCTGTCGAACCGGCTTAAGTATTAGGTATGCTTAGGGGTGCCTTCTCGCCATGCCCTGTGGCTGGGGGGATTGGTGCCCTGAAGGGGAGATTGACACCCTATACCCCCCCGAAGTGGCAAGGGGAGTTAGGGGACAACAATTATAGCAAGGGGTCATCTCTAATTGAAGCGACGCTTCAGTCAAGTTAAGGCTCTAATAATAAGAAATCACCAAAGATGAGTGTCCTTTCTCCGTCAGGACAGCAAGTGATATGTTGTCTTCCAGTACCCAGCGGGTTTTCTTCCTATTGGGGAGAGTTGTACATGCTGCAATGGCGGTATGTTTACAAACAGGATGAGTGGCCCTGGCCAATAAACTCGCCCTTCGGGGCAAAAATGTAAAAAAAAAATTACTCGACAGCCTCGCTGACGTGTCACGACAGAGGTCTCCTCCCCCTGGTAACACTAGGCCACATGACCTGTATAGCGTCATCCTCGAATATGAAGTCACAGCTGTTCCAGGCACAATATTGTTTGACTTAAATATTGCATTAAAACACAGATATAATCTGATAAAAGCCTAATTACATTAGTTTTATGCATCAAAATATATAAAATAATTTTTGGTAGTCCTGCATACTGGTTGTGGATGAGTAATGTATGACTCAAAGAAGGCTGAGTAATGAAATGATGGACACAACAATATGGTTACACATCCTATGCCAATCATTCCATGTGGTGGAAATGTTCGAGGCACATAGTGCAGCCCATCCTCTGGAGCTGTCACAACGTCACAATAATGATATACTAAATTGCACTAGCCTTACCAAATCGAGGGCCCACGAATATAAAACGGGACAGCCCGTCAATTTTGCAAAAAGCTGTGATACATCATATTTCTTATTTGAAGTGCAGCGCGACAACCCGTCCTCCAAATAGAACATCGCATTTTGACGCATGTTCTTCATAAGGGCAAAAATTGTCGTACTAGAAAATGGTAGCGGCTCCCGAAATTGACGTACTGTTTCGTTTTCTGTCTTTGGGTCCTCTGGTAGGTTAGGATAAGGGCACTTTAGTACAACAGTTTCTTGACGTTGGGAAACCTTAGGATGACGGGCTGCTTTGTTGTGGAATGCGTTCACCTTCCTTCCAGTTATCATACCATCCATCACCCAATGGTATGATAACTTTAGCTAAGTTATCATACCATGGATGGTATGATATAAAGATGATAACGTTTAGCTAAGCAAGTTACAGCATTGATCTAGTTACAGGAGTTTGTTAGCATATACATCTACTGTGCATTATAAATATGGATTGTCAGCTTAATTAACATGTTTCAGAGTCAAATAATTGGCTCTTGAAGCAATTATGCTATAAAAGAGTATTGATACATTACAGTAAGTGTTACATTGAATTGTGTAACTAGCGTATTAAGATTGTTACTTGTTTAGCGAAATGAATTTTGGGAGTTCAGTTCTTGAGCCCATTTTGTGCCTATAATTATACCTTTTCCACGGCTGCCCTCGGGAAAGGCATGGGGATGGGGGGGGGGGGGTGCATAATAAAAGAAAAAATTAACAGAACCCCATTGTTGAATTTACTTGGTCAATCAATTTCACAATTTGTGGTAAACTAGTTCTATTAGCTGTAGCAAATCTATTTTGTGAATCCTAAACTGGATTTCCTCCTTACCTTTTAAATGGCGGGCATTTATCACAAGAGCCAAACTAATTCACAGATGTATAATACCTCGACATAACGTTGCTAAATGTGATTCATTAACGCATTAAAGGCGTCAGACATAAATAAGGAATACGCTTTTTTTGTTACCTCTTTGGGCGCGAAGGTGAATTGGTCGGCGGCAGAGCGTCTGGCCTCAGTCGGTCGCTGGAAGCGGAGGTGACCGCACGCACTCTGGAGATGATTGCCAAGGTAGGTGGGGTGGGGGAGCTCATCTTATCTATTGAGATGATCCTCCGTGATAACACGAAGGAGGATTTTTATCGTTAGTATATTAACTATGTATAGGAGTTATTGCTGGTGGCTTATCTGGATGGAATGTTATATATACGTTTGGGGCATGTATGTATGGGAATGCTGTCATGAGGTAACCGTGGCACTGCTGACATCTTGTAGCTGTGGCACTGTTGACAGCTCTGTGACTGCTGACATATCTGTAAACGTGATGCTGTTTACATCTTTATAACTTGCACTGCTGATATTTATAATTCTGGCACTGCCTATATTTCGAACTGGCACTGCTGATATCTGTAACTGTGTGGCACTGCTGACATCTCTAACTGGCACGAGGAGACCTCGTCAGAGACCGGGCCGCGGGGACGTTGATCCTCGAAACCGCAGGCAAGGTAAGATAGTATTAATTCAACCACGATTTGCTTGTACAATTAGGTTAATTAGGCCCCTTTAGTTACCACTTTTTTGTAATATGTCATTTGGGCTAATTCAATAATACAAAATGAACGTATTTGAGTACAATAGTGTTTTTTCGTATGACTAAATATATACGATATAAGTAGTATCATTATCGAAGGATCAGTTGGTCTAATCATACACGAGACGGTTCGAAAAAGCTCTTTATCTAATTGTTAAAAAACGTATATATGGTTAGGTTAGGTTCAAGTTAGTTGCGTAAGGTTAAGAAGTTAGGTTAGTTTTTTTATTTTTTAAATTTGTTGGCGATCCGTCTTCTGTATGAGATGTGACTTGATAACTTTCTTAAGTGTAACAATGGTGATATTGTTGCACTTGGCTCTAGTTGAATTCTTGAGTCACAGTGGTGGAGGTTATCGATTCGTTGTCAGTGGCTGTTTTATATAGGGAATAAGTCTTGTAATGGGTAGTCTTGTGGTGGATAGTATTGCAATGGGTAGTATTGTAATGGGTAGTTTTACAGTGGATAGTATCGTAATTGGTAGCATTGTATGGGTAGTATTGTAATAGGTAGTATTGTAGTTTGTAATACTGTAGTGGGTAGTTTTGCAGTGAATAATATTGCAATGGGTAGCATTGTATTGACAGTATTGTAATGTGTATCATTGTACTATTATTAAGGAGACAAATAAGTGCAATTATGTACTATTCATAGCAGTTAGGAATTGTACTTATTTTCACTTAGTATTAAATCGTAGTCATATATATTGTGAATATTTGAGTTTACCCCAAAAACTGAATAGAAAACCACAACCTCACCTAACCGTCTTAGTTTTTGAAGATAATAATTTTATTGCTTCTTAATTACAATTAGTACTTAACCTATAGCTATATTGATATTACAGTTTTATAAAACTAATAAAACAAAACTAAAATATATCAATAATAGTATTCATGTTACTAGTGTCACTGGGAGTAGGCGAACGGCCAAGTTGGGATGTAGATAAGGAAGCCTCAGTGGTTCATTAATTGCTATTATTCGTAGTGTCTTATCTTGTAGGGTGTGGCCTCGTTAATCCGCCCTTCGAAGGCCGGTTAAAGTAATTATTCAGTATTAGTGATTAATGATTAATGACCGTAATAAGAGGGATGTTATATATCATCTTTGCGGTTTAGTAATCAAGTCGTTTGCCTAATGAGGACTTGTAGGGTATTTGTGAGAAAGCGCTAATGATGATTTACCTTGAGGACGTAAGTAAGTAATGTAAGGTAATGTAAGGGCGAAGAGAGAGAACACCCTATTGACATAGCTCGAGTGCATGGGGGGAGTTGTGTAAAACCCTGGTTTGTGCCTCGGAGACGCTGCGGGATTCAGTAAGTTCAGTAGAACTTCGGTTTCAACTCTTTTTACCATGTCGTAGCTCAGTCGATTAAGGCAGTGTCTGGGATGCTCCCGGACGCAGGTTCGAATCCTCGTCACGGCCCTTGTGGATTTGTTCACGAGAAGGCGCTATGCTTGCGTGACCACGTAATGCTTGCTGCCTAATGAGACGTTGCAGATTGTTTGCTGAAAAAACATTGAGCTAATTATGACGTCATTCTTACGTCACGCATGGCCGTTAAATTGAGGTAGTCTGGAGGACAATTTAAACGTCGCACTCGGCGCCAGACGTAAAAAATTAGCAATTTTGTTCAGCTTTTTCAATAATACACATCTTGCTGATTTTATTCCTGCATATTTTTTAAAGATGGTTAAATATAATCTTCGTAATTTTCGAGGCCTAAGGCCTACCTTTCGAGGCCCGTGAATAAGCCTGAGTATTTTACTTAAACATACAAAAATTATATAAATGTTAATAATAACAATCAAAATGAACGTATTAGTAATGATATGGATAAGGATAGAGCATGTAGTAGTCACGTGAGGCTTAAAATATTGAGAACACAGTAACACATGCTGATAAGGAAATCATCGAACACACTGTAAACCTTAAAAGGAAAACGCAAATAAGAGTTGGGGGTCTCTTGAGCGAAGGGCGTGAAGGTGTGTGTGTGTACAGTTCCTGCCTCGCTGCCAGGTGGATCACGGCCAGCTGGGTTCCTGCTGGCCGTGTGCCACTATGGTCCCCGCAGGTGGCACCTCGTATAAAGGAGACTGGAATGGAATTAATGTTTGGACGGGATACATCTCCTGTCACGCAGGGTGCAGTCGCACCTCCACAGATCTCCAGTATCATCTATTGATACTGGTAATGGCTCAAAAGGGCTACTACTTACGGGCTATTCATGCCCGTGCCACCTTTTGGGTGGCTTAATTAATTGCTTCTAGTAGGAGGGGAAAGTACGGAGAGTGAGTATGGGAGAGTACGTTAACTATCCTATCTTGCATATCATGCAAGGTGTAGAGTATTGTGAGAAAATGGACGATAGTATATTTGGAGAGAAGGGACTTTGTAACACCACCAGCACGGGTTCAGGGATGATAAATCTTACCTCACAGGCTTAATAGAATTATATGATTAAGCAACAAAAATTAGACAAGACAGAAGGTCGAGCAAACTTCATATATTTGGATTGTCAGAAAGCCTTCGACACAATACCCCATAAGAGACTAGTGCATAATTTAGAGAAGCAAGCAGGGGTGACATGGAGGGTGCTCCAATGGATAAGGGAGTACCTAAGTAACAGAAGACAGTGAGTTACTGTGAGGGGTGAGGTCTAAAGAGTGGCGAGATGTTACCAGTGGAGTCCCACGGGACTCAGTTCTAGGACTATCCTATTTCTCTTTACGTAAATTATCTTCCGTGGGTAATAGACTAATTCCACTCAATGTTTGTTGATGGAAAAATTATGAAGATACAGACAGAGGAAGATTCAAGATGACCTGGCCAAACTGAAAGAATGGTCCAAAATGTGGCTACTTAAATTTAACTAAGTGTAAAGTAATGAAACTAGGCAAATAGGACAAGACACCAGACGCAATGTACCAAATGGGCGATAACATCCTTCAGGAATAGAGTAGAGAAAAAGATCTGGGTGGTCGAGATCACACCGAACCTGTCTCCTAAAGCCCACATCAAAATGATGTCTTTAACAGCATGTACCATGTTGGCCAAAATAAGAACTGCCTTTAGAAATTTGTGTAAAGAATCATTCAAAACCTTGTATGTCACGTATGCCAGACCAGTCCTGGAGTATGTGGCTACAGCGTGGAGTCTATATCTAATAATGCAAAAGACGACGTTAGAAAAAGCTCAGAGGTATGACACCATATTATTCCCAGAACTGAGAAGTATTGGATACGAAGAAAGGCTTCAGGAATTAAACCTCACGTCGCTGAAGGACAGAAGACTTGGGGGGGGGGGTGCTTATTACCACAGAAAATTCACACGGTACTTAAATATGATATATACAGCCACATTATTTAGCACGGGTGGTAGTGGCACAAGTGGATACAGGTGGATATTAGTACCCAAATGAGGCAGAGAGGAAGTGATGTGGTGGAGGCAGACTCCATACAGAGTTTCAAATGTAGATATGATAGAGTCCAATAGGCTCGGGAACTACACCAGTCGATTGGATGTTAAGCGGCGGGACCAAAGAGACGAAGCTCATCTCAAACAAGGAAAATTAGGTGAGTACAATTAGGTAAGTCTACATGCTTGCGCGAGGAAGCGTACGAAGTACTGAATCAAAGTTTTCAGGGAATATTTTTAAACTAAACAACATCCACGGGACCCAATGCAGAAACTGACCGGTGAGGGACCGAGTTAGAGGTGACGGCAGCGGAGATGAGGAGGCACGTGAAGTAACTGGGTAAGGCTAGAGCTATAATTATTAACATCTTTATTGACAAAAATTAATTACAATTTTTGCCTGCATGAGACCAGAAGAAATTACACCATGGATCCTGAAAGAGGCAGCAGAGGCACTGAGCTATAACCATACAGTGCTCCTTAACTCAACACTACAAACAAACTAATTGCAACTAAAGATAATATAAACAGTGTGTAGTTCCTTTGTACAATGAAGGAGGTTGACAGGAGCCTCTGAATCACAGATCAATGTCATACATTCCTAACATGACATTAGAGGGGGGGGGGGGTTATAAGGAGGCAGAACAGTTGCTTCAGTTAAAAAATTAATTGATTACCAGGGGGGGGGGGTGTTTGATTTAGTCCCTTCCAAAATATTGCTAAAACAAACTTAAGTTCAAAGCTGGTGTAACTGGAAAAGTGCCAGAGTGGGTGATGGGATGACTTTTGGGTAGGAAACAGGAACAGTGAGAAAGGAGAAAGCAGAGACGTAAGGACACAAGTGAGCTGCCACAAGATTCGATACCAGGGTCCATTATGTTCCTAATGTGTAAATAACCTGATGGAGAGAAAAATCATATCTCCGTTTATGGCCGATACAAAGCTGATGAGTTAGAAGTGAAGAGGACTGCGAGAGACTAAAGATAGACCTGGATGCACTGCAGCGTTGGTTTGAATGATGGCTGCTAGAGTTTAACCCGGGCAAATGCAAAGTAATAAGGATAGGAGTGGGGGGGGGAAGAAGACCACGGGGATAGTATCCACTGAAAATATAACAGCTGGAAACATAAAATGAAAGATTTGGGATTTTATTTACCTCCAAACTGGGCATCTGAGGAACACATCAGCCAGATAACATCAGAAGCATATACAAAACTAGCAAATATCTGAGCAGCTCTCAGGAACATAGATCAAGGGGCCTTCGAAGCATTATATATCCAACTAGTGCACGATCAATACGTGTATATGTAGCCCCGCCCTCAAGTTTCTACATAAAAAAACGTAAAAACTAGAATAAATTCATGAGTATGCGACAACCGAGTCTATTGACCTTCAGGCACCTGGACACCAGTTACTGGAGCCACCTGGCGGCAAGACAGGAAGTATAGGCGTGAAGACTGAGACTGTTCTCAATGTAACACAGTGTTTGATTCGCCCATAAATCAACACAACACAGTGTTTGTTCCTGGGTACCAAGTGTTATTTTCTGATTGTTTATGCCTCCAAAATATAGATAATACTAATAATTCATTTTGCCTGGAGACAGGCCGCCAGAGTGTATTCATACACGTTAGGCTTATACAGAGATTTTTAATTATAGATTTCTAATCCTTAGTAAAATTAAGGATTAAGTTTATCATCCTTCTCTCTTCCCTTGCAAGTAAATTTATACACATTCTAGTTCAATGTCAAAAACTGAACATCCTATTTGGTAAATGATGCCAAGATGAAGCTGACGAATAATATTCTACGTATTGCTAAAGATTCCAGAAATGAATTTCAATAAAGATATTGTAAATATCAAGAACACAGCAACACAATACACCCACAGGAAAGGAAAGGTAAGTATTGGCTTGGAAACACAGTTGTTTATATAAGGTACAAATTACTGGGTAACATAACAGATGTGGGATCACTGATTTAAGCCTAGGCTAGTCACGCAAGAATAAGTTCCGTGGAAACACAAACCGAAACTGTGACTATTTTCCGCTTATTACAACTTGTAATAAAGTTGTTACATCTTGGCTTAACGTGTTTATGACGTATTAGAACGTTGTTACAACTTGCTATATTGGTTGTTATAACTGGTTCGGAAGTGTTAAAACTTGTTCGAAACGTCGTAGTTTCGGTGTGTGTTTGGCGGGTTTGAGTGGATATAAATAAGAGGTGCCTCGTATGGGCCAATAGTTTTTCAGTTTCCTTTATTCTTATGCTCATATGACCAGAAAGGATCTACGCACGAACCTATTTCTTCGCAGGGTCGTCGGGTCTCAAAAGCTCGTATGGACTCTTCGTACGTCTTACCGTACATGTCTACGGCTGGCCTTTGTTTTTGCAAAGGACAGGGAGCCAGCCCGGCCCCTTCAGCACCCAGTCGTAGAATCGCCCACTGTTGTAATTTAAAACAAAAAATATGCTCCCCACGGCTACAAATCCGTCTATCCTTGAATAAAAAGTTCACCTTGCTGTAGCGTAGCGGATAGCGGTAGTTTTGAACTCCGGATTATTAAACTATAAAATTAATAGTATTATGCATCTTATAAGGCATTGCATACGTACAAAAACTGCCCTAAATGTAACACAGAGCAAGGTAGGTTTTGAGCGCTTGTGAAATTCTTTCAGGACAAATTGGGCGTTTTACGTCAGAGTTGGCTATATCTGTTGCTTTGCCCTTTTTAAGCCCTTAACTGCTGTCTGTGAAACGTGTCTTATATTCGATGTTTGACCTTTAATATATATTGTTCCATGGTCTAGCATGTACCACGCCCCTCCCCCCTACTATCACCCCTTTCCCCCTACGATCACACACTACCCTTGTACCCAGGGGGTAGTGAACTATAACATTCAGTTACATGACTATATAGGCATCTTGCGTGGTTGCGCTTAACTGCTACTTGGATACTGGTCCATGGAATGCAAGGCTACTGGATACAGAGCCATGGAACGCAAGGTTACTGGATACAGAGCCATGGAATGCAAGGCTACTGGACACAGCCACGGAACGCAAGACTGCTGGATACGGATCCATGGAATGCAAGGCTACTGGATAAATATCAATGAGGGGGGAGGGTACACGGGTATTTGGATAGAGGATAACGTAGCATTATACCATTATTAATGTATCATGTGCTTCCTTATCAGTGGCTACGGAGAAGTAAGAGAGCTCCGCCTACTGAGCTAGTTGTTCCTGTTGTTTTATTTCAACTTTCCTGACATTCCAGTTCCCTGATGTTGAAGGCTTTGAAGTTGTGGATGGCGGTGGCCTCCAAGATTTATTCTTTCAGTACATTCCATCTGTTAACCTCCCATACCTGGATTGTACCTGGAATGGGTTCTGGGAGTTCTACCTCCCCAAGCCCGGCTTGGAACCAGGCTTTATTTGCGAGAGTTTGGTTCTACAGGGTATTGCTTGGGGCGGCCCGCAGGCCCTTATATCCACCTCAACCCGGTTGGTCCGGGTTTAATATTTCTTAGACTTTCCTAGAGGATATTTTACAGTATGCAAATATTTCATTATATTTTTCCGAGTGATTTACGTTTCCAGCATCTACTTATGTCTTGCCTAACTTCTTCTCGAGTTATAGAGACTATCGTTTTCCACCTTGTCTCTTCACCTCTTCCGTCTGCATAATTTTTTACCCTTATATGTGTGTTCCGTGATGTTTAACACAACCTACTGTAACTCCGTGATTAGCACAGTCGACTCACAAGCAAATGGTCCCAGGTTAGATTCTCGTGCACAGTGAAATGTTTGGGTACATTTCCTTAGTTGGCACCTGGGAGTTAATCAACTATTGTGAGCTGTATCATAGAGAAGGTTAGTCGTAGGTCTATGAGCAGAGGTTCTCAACCTAACCCCTCTGTAGAATTTAAAGGTTTCTGTCGGTGTTGGGTTTAAGGCCCATCAACCTCTGGAAGGGTATTTTTTAAGCCGTTGCAACAGCTTATTGATCATCCGGCAAGTATACTGTAGTCCTAAACATAGTCCAGGACTAAAGTAAACTATATACACCGAGATATGGTACATCTCTTGGAGTTTATATCCCTTGACTGTCTAAAAGGTTAGGTCCTGTGCATAGCATACCATACAGTAATATGTTCTACGCCATCGACTCGCAATTGAGGGATCCGGATTCCATCCTCGGCCAGATCAGAATTGCCTGAATTTACCTGAATTTAGGGCCACTAACACTAGTGGCCTTGATGAGAACAGGAAGCCGGCGGCGTATCAAACGTCTCCCCCATTTGTCCTGATGATTTTTTCTAGCCCTTTTTTTCAGGCCTTTTCAGGCCTTTTCAAGAAACTTGAGTACGTTTCCTTTCACTTAGCCTTTTTCACTTTGTTCACTTATCAGTAAATAGATACACGGGAGTTGTGAGTTGCATCCTGGGAACGGTGAGTAGTTAGCCCAGAGGTACAGACTTCCAGTCCCCGACAATGGGAATCAAACAAATAACGTAGTCCCTCTTAGATCTGTGAAAGAGAACGTTGTGGGTATAGAAAACGACATCACAGCATCAACTATTATTTTTCGTTACATTAATTCCATTTGTCGGGGACAGGAAGTCTTTATATTGTGACGGTAACGCGTTGGTGTTCGGCTGTTTAAGGCTAGGGGTATGGCCTCGTCACATAGTTATAAAAAAAAATAGAAAAAACTGGAACTTCGTCTGTGGTAAGGTAAGGAGAAGACACACAAAACACAAGTAAACTTTAACAATGAAATTTTAATTACGTTAATTAAATCAAAACATGAATAAAATGCACAAACAAATTCTTATAATAAAATCAATCAAAATAATAAGAATACTTAAATGACACAATGAAAAGTTACGTTAAGACAAAATAACAAGAAGTGCAAATTACAAGTAAATGGGAGGTGCTGGAATATTGGCTTAAGCTACCACTTCCCTCAGTACACGCTAGCGTCTAGCCGGGAGGAGTGGTAACAACGAGAGCACTGAACATTCTGAGGTATGAGGGTGGGGCGACCCCAGACATCAAGTAGTATGGGGGGGCGAGTGCAGGTGCAGCCAGACCGGCGACCAATCAGCGGAGCCGGTAGCGATCAACATGTAGTTTGGTGGTTTGAGTCCGAACAGGTGGCTGGCTGCATATGTTTTGCTCACCCTGGCAAGCCTTGCTGGTGGTGGTGTTGTTGTTGGACATGTCTTCCATAGTCGTTTTATATAATTTCAACGACGTGTTTGTGGAGGGAAGAGCAGGCTCAATCTCTTGAAGGAGATTATTGTCACAATATATATATACTTTAGGCTTTTATCGAGGTCCTCCCTAACTGGGTTGAACTGACCTTAACCAGGATGCAATCCACAACAGTTGCCTAACTCCCTGGTACTTATTTGCTGCGAGATGAACAAATTCATCAAGAGAAAAGAAACATTCTCATCCATTTCAATTCCGGTCGTGGATCGAATCAGGGATCCTCGAGTGTGAGTGGAGAACGTAGACCACTACAACATGACCATTGCCTATCTAAAAGGTTAGGTTAGGGCTCTTAACCTCCTTAACAACATGAGACCATAAATCTACGTAATGAAACAACATTGAATCACTTGATCTTGTACTCAAGATCACGATCTTGTGTACAAGTAACGAAGTCTCCTTTGGAACTTAAAGAACAAGCCGTAGTTATAGAACACGGCTAGAATGATCAACTTATTTTTTTGATGACCAGACCACACACTAGAATGTGAAGGGACAATCGACTTGAGAATGGTCCAGGACGGACCGAAACGTCGTCGTCCCTTCACATTCTAGTGTGTGGTCTGGTCATCATACTTTAGCCACGTTATTGTCACTCATCGCCAACTTATTTTTTTGTCTGTTTCTGTTTTTATTGAATTAACTAATCCTGTATGTACAGGGAAGCAAGAAACTGTTAAGTATGTGTTTTGAATATTGAAGGTTGTGTTAACTTGGCTGTGTGTTGTTAGGCTTTTGTTTTACTATATTTTATATTTGTCTTTTTTACCAACAGACGCTTCTGTTGTCAGCTGCGGTTGGCGTAGTGTGGGCTAGACTAGCCCATCAGACGCCCACCCTCCCCACCCACCTCTCTCCTGAGTCCTGCCCGCCCACCTTCCACAACAACCACCCCTTGGTTAGTACTCCACCCTCCCCGCCCACCACTCACCTGAGTCCTGCCCCGCCCACCTAAATCAATCATAGACAACAATGCAGTTTTTCTTTCGTATGGAGATATAGAACTACTGTACTGTAAATAATTTTAAATAAACATTAGATATGTTTATTTTAGTATTGTATTTTGTCAATAACCTTGATTTATAAGACTTATGGAGAAGCCGTTGTGGTTATGGGGTGAACAAGACTCACTCTCACAGATTCTGGTGTCGGTGGATGGATTCCGCGCCGACTATATTCTCCGCGGGAGGACGCCGACCATCGAGGCCTTGGGTGCCAGCGGCGTCCGGGCACCATACATCAAGCCTTCCTACCCCACCATAACCTTCCCCAACCACTACACTATGGTCACAGTGAGTATGCACCACCATTCTATTGACCTGGACTCTAGGGGCCAGATTCACGAAAGCACTTACGAACCTGTACATCTTTTCTTAATCTTTGGCGGCTTTGTTTCCAATTATTAAACAGTTAATGAGCTCCGAAGCACCAGGAGGCTGTTTATAACAATAACAACAGTTGAATCGGAAGTTTTCATGCTTGTAAACTGTTTAATAAATGTAACCAAAGACGTCAAAGATTGAGGAAAGATGTATGCGTTCGTAAGTGCTTTCGTGAATCTGGCCCTAGGAGATTCGAACCGTGAACCCTCACGCGTGTGATGCCCCAAAGCTCTATCGACCGAGCTATGGAGTAGTCTTAATAAGGAAAGTTTTCAGAAGCAGCATTCTGCTGCTACCAAACTGAAATTTTCGACTTTCCCCCTGACTACTACTGAAGCTCATAGGCATTAGTGATCTTGACCAGACCACACACTAGAAGGTGAAGGGACGACGACGTTTCGGTCCGGTCAACATACTTTAGCCATGTTATTGTGACTCATCGCCTGCATTAGTGATCTATTTTATGGGCTATTTATTCATTGCCCCTGCCACCTCTTGCCTTAATCTTGGTGCCTTAATCTCCATCAACCACGTGTATTCATTGTTTACCTGGAGATGTACCAGAAATTCTTAGGTGAACGCCTCTGTTCACCCAGCAGGGAATGGGTACCTGATTGTTAAACGATTGGCTGGTCGTATTCCAAGGAAACTAAGCATAGAAATTTTACACTATAAGATCAACAACGCCAGTAATGCGATCATATATAATCAAATATATATCTTTCATTATACTCGATTTTGTCCCTAAGTTCGTTATAATCCATATTGTCCCTAAATTCATTATACTCTGTACTTTTAATTTACTTTCTATATTATACTTTTTTTGCTCATACAATGTGAGGTCATTGGTATACCTGGCAGTATAACCACACTCCCGACCCTACCTCCACAGGGACTCTACCCTCCGGCCCATGGGATCGTGGCCAACAAGTTCTACGACCCGGTGTTCAGGTCGGAGTTCAGGAGAAAACGACCAGACAGCTACACGCGGCGCTGGTGGGGTGGTGAACCCGTCTGGAAGACCGCAGAGAAGCAGGTGGGTCGTAGTGATATAGCACCAGGTGCGTCGTAGTGATATAGCACCAGGTGGGTCTTAGTATTATAGCACCAGGTGGGTCTTAGTATTATAGCACCAGGTGGGTCGTAGTATTATAGCACCAGGTGGGTCGTAGTATTATAGCACCAGGTGGGTCGTAGTGATATAGCACCAGGTGGGTCTTAGTATTATAGCACCAGGTGGGTCTTAGTATTATAGCACCAGGTGGGTCGTAGTATTATAGCACCAGGTGGGTCGTAGTATTATAGCACCAGGTGGGTCGTAGTGATATAGCACCAGGTGGGTCGTAGTGATATAGCACCAGGTGGGTCTTAGTATTATAGCACCAGGTGGGTCTTAGTATTATAGCACCAGGTGGGTCGTAGTGATATAGCACCAGGTGGGTCTTAGTATTATAGCACCAGGTGGGTCTTAGTATTATAGCACCAGGTGGGTCGTAGTATTATAGCACCAGGTGGGTCGTAGTATTATAGCACCAGGTGGGTCGTAGTGATATAGCACCAGGTGGGTCGTAGTGATATAGCACCAGGTGGGTCTTAGTATTATAGCACCAGGTGGGTCGTAGTATTATAGCACCAGGTGGGTCGTAGTATTATAGCACCAGGTGGGTCGTAGTATTATAGCACCAGGTGGGTCGTAGTATTATAGCACCAGGTGGGTCGTAGTGATATAGCACCAGGTGGGTCGTAGTATTATAGCACCAGGTGGGTCGTAGTGATATAGCACCAGGTGGGTCGTAGTATTATAGCACCAGGTGGGTCGTAGTGATATAGCACCAGGTGGGTCGTAGTATTATAGCACCAGGTGGGTCGTAGTATTATAGCACCAGGTGGGTCGTAGTGATATAGCACCAGGTGGGTCGTAGTATTATAGCACCAGGTGGGTCGTAGTGATATAGCACCAGGTGGGTCGTAGTGATATAGCACCAGGTGGGTCGTAGTATTATAGCACCAGGTGGGTCGTAGTGATATAGCACCAGGTGGGTCGTAGTATTATAGCACCAGGTGGGTCGTAGTATTATAGCACCAGGTGGGTCGTAGTGATATAGCACCAGGTGGGTCGTAGTATTATAGCACCAGGTGGGTCGTAGTATTATAGCACCAGGTGGGTCGTAGTGATATAGCACCAGGTGGGTCGTAGTATTATAGCACCAGGTGGGTCGTAGTATTATAGCACCAGGTGGGTCGTAGTGATATAGCACCAGGTGGGTCGTAGTGATATAGCACCAGGTGGGTCGTAGTATTATAGCACCAGGTGGGTCGTAGTGATATAGCACCAGGTGGGTCGTAGTATTATAGCACCAGGTGGGTCGTAGTGATATAGCACCAGGTGGGTCGTAGTGATATAGCACCAGGTGGGTCGTAGTGATATAGCACCAGGTGGGTCGTAGTGATATAGCACCAGGTGGGTCGTAGTATTATAGCACCAGGTGGGTCGTAGTGATATAGCACCAGGTGGGTCGTAGTATTATAGCACCAGGTGGGTCGTAGTGATATAGCACCAGGTGGGTCGTAGTATTATAGCACCAGGTGGGTCGTAGTGATAGCAACAGTAGAGATGACAGTACCGCTGTAACTTTGCAACTGGCTACAGTGAGCGAGTAAGTAATAATTGTAATTAAGAAGCAATAAGATGCTTATCTTAACATACTAAGGTTAGGTGAGGTCGGTGTTTTCTATGAAGCTTTTCAAGGTAAACTAAAATATTCACAATCAATTAGTATGTCACATATGCACTTATTAAATAAGCCAATATTGACTATAAGCAAGTGCGAGAACGGGTTGCAACATTATATGTATAACCTCAATTACTAATTTAAAAAAAATCAGTTTTATGTGATATCGTGTAACTTACAAGTCGTTACAGATTTTCCATGTATACCTATTTATAATTATTTATTGTTGTTTTAGTATAAGTGTTTACTTAAAATCAATAAGTCCCCCCTTCTTCTAGGGCAAGCGAGCAGCCACTTTCTTTTGGCCCGGGTCGTCGGTGGAGGGCAACCGACCCTCGATGTGGTTCAGGTACAACATGTCCATCCCCTTCTCACATCGTGTGGACCAGGTGAGACAACTTGAGCTCTGTCCAGTGTCAGGGAGGTTGATATATAAACGTTGGTCACTGACTTCGTAAGACCAGTTTAAAGTTATTCAACTATTTCAGTGCTTCTATTTCAGGTGTTGTCATTCCTCTTGTTTCAGGTGTTGGCCTGGTTGGACTTGCCACCCTGGGAACGGCCGGCCTTTATGACGCTGTATATGCATGAGCCAGACCGCTCCGGCCACAACTTTGGACCTGATTCTCCCCAGGTACAGTAATGTACTACATGAGCCAGACCACGTGAGCCACACCCATGGACCTGCAACTTATCCTCAGGCCAGGCTCGTTAAAGCAGCGGCCTTTCCCTAAGATACATTCTTCAATTTTTAACATAGTGTGTAATAAAAATAGATTTGTTAGGCATAGGTTAGGTGTTTAGATTCTGTTGGCGGTTATTTGTATTTGAAGTACGTGCTCGAAGTATTTACGGAGTTGCGATTCGAACAGAGGTCGTCAGATAAACGCTGGTCGCGAAATGTTCGAACGTCATCAGTTGTGAGTCGTGAGTAAATCGTTTTCATTCAGAAACCACCCCGTCCTCTAAACAGAGGCCAAAGTCCATTCCATGCACCCGCCAAACCCCACTGTTTATGAATGAAAAACGGTTTACACATGACTCGCAACTGATGACGTCTGAATACTTCTATAACAAGTGCTTCGCTGACGACTTTTGTTCGAACCACAACGCTGTAAATGCTTCACCCACTTACTACAAATACAAATAATCGCCAACAGAACCTAAACACCTAACCTAAGGCAGTGCCTAAATATACACAATATGCTAATTTTAATAATTAATTTATATTTGAGAAAAGTTCTGTTTTGAATGAACAGCATGTTAAAATTGACGAATGCGTCTTTGGGGTCGACCGCTAGATGGAATGGACTTGGTCTAAAGACGGGTTGCAGAAACAAGGGAGGGGGGCGGGGTGTTTGTATGGCTGGAATAACGAGTATTTGGCCTTTGTTGATTAGGTCGGGCTGGGACATGACGTTCCTCAGGAAGTGTATGACTCCCATACACGCACCTCAGATGGTGTATGTGTATGACTCCCATACACGCACTTCAGATGGTGTATGTGTATGACTCCCATACACGCACCTCAGATGGTGTATGTGTATGTGTATGACTCCCATACACGCACCTCAGATGGTGCATGTGTATGTGTATGACTCCCATACACGCACCTCAGATGGTGTATGTGTATGACTCCCATACACGCACCTCAGGTAGTGAACGTGTATGACTCCCATACACGCACCTCAGGTAGTGAACGTGTATGACTCCCATACACGCACCTCAGGTAGTGAACGTGTATGACTCCCATACACGCACCTCAGATGGTGTATGTGTATGACTCCCATACACGCACCTCAGGTAGTGAACGTGTATGACTCCCTTGTGCTTCATATTCACCCACCACTCCTCCATATATGTTTAGTACTAAGTTATACTTGCTGGCTGCTCAGTCATTTATTCCATAAGTTGATTGGCCTGAAACTCAACACCAAAGTAATTGTGACAGTTAAAAAGCTAAAAAACAAAAACACAGTTTATACAGTCAAGTAACTAGTTTATACAGTCAAGTAACTAGTTTATACAGTCAAGTAACTAGTTTATACAGTCAAGTAACTAGTTTATACAGTCAAGTAACTAGTTTATACAGTCAAGTAACTAGTTTATACAGTCAAGTAACTAGTTTATACAGTCAAGTAACTAGTTTATACAGTCAAGTAACTAGTTTATACAGTCAAGTAACTAGTTTATACAGTCAAGTAACTAGTTTATACAGTCAAGTAACTAGTTTATACAGTCAAGTAACTAGTTTATACAGTCAAGTAACTAGTTTATACAGTCAAGTAACTAGTTTATACAGTCAAGTAACTAGTTTATACAGTCAAGTAACTAGTTTATACAGTCAAGTAACTAGTTTATACAGTCAAGTAACTAGTTTATACAGTCAAGTAACTAGTTTATACAGTCAAGTAACTAGTTTATACAGTCAAGTAACTAGTTTATACAGTCAAGTAACTAGTTTATACAGTCAAGTAACTAGTTTATACAGTCAAGTAACTAGTTTATACAGTCAAGTAACTAGTTTATACAGTCAAGTAACTAGTTTATACAGTCAAGTAACTAGTTTATACAGTCAAGTAACTAGTTTATACAGTCAAGTAACTAGTTTATACAGTCAAGTAACTAGTTTATACAGTCAAGTAACCAGTTTATACAGTCAAGTAACTAGTTTATACAGTCAAGTAACTAGTTTATACAGTCAAGTAACGTTTGCTACTGTTGTCTGCAGCTTTTAGTGTGATTTTCACTTATATTAAGTAAACTCTTTGTGATGGAGCGTGAAGTGAACATGGTGTTTGGATGAACAGATCCACAAGGGCCGTGACGAGGATTCGAACCTGCGTCCGGGAGCATCCCAGACACTGCCTTAATCGACTGAGCTCCGACAGGGTTAAAAGGGTTGAAACCGAAGTTCTACTGAGGGTCGTCACGGCCCTTGTGGATTTGTTCATTTGATGCATCACATTAGTGTGATCTCTGTGTGTAATGGTGTTTGGATTGTTGAACAGGTGGACGCGGCACTCAGCCACGTAGATGCCATGGTGAAGCGCCTGGTGGAGGGACTGGCGGCCAGGAACCTGCTCTCCTGCGTCAACCTCATGGTCATGGCTGACCACGGGATGGCCACGGCCGGCCAGCAGAGGGTCATCCGCATCGACAAGTATATCCCCAACGTGAGGAACAGGACCAGGTTCTGGAACGGCGTCTTCGGGAGGATGACCCCCAATGACGCCTCGCCAAGTAAGGCTCCTCGTCGACCCTCCAGCTGCGCCACGAGTCTTCAAGCATTTACATGTCCAGTTACGAGACCTGTACATCCTTCCTGGATCATTGCGGTTTTGTATTCGCTAAACGTTGACGAGCTTGCAAAGGCTGCAAAGTCGTGTTCGACCCAAAGTTATTTTTATTATAAACAACCTTGTATAATTCTTTGGGGCCCGTAAACCGTTCAATAAGTGAAAACTTTACCACCATGATTAAGGAAAGATGTACAGGTTTCGTAAGTGGACACTTGCATGCTTGGTGAGTCCTGGTTTAGGATATTTAAAGGATCAAGGATTCTATATAAAAGACAATTTTTGCGTTATTCAGCTAGTTACGGTAGATGTGCCACTCTACACTATTGTGTTCCTTAACTCTTATTTGTTCAGAGTTGTACTTGTGGCTCGCCTGGCTGGGCTCCTTACTTCCCTGAACAACACTCTGGTTGTGCTCTAGTTTGGCTAAGTCCACAACCATCCACTGACCTTATTTCCACTGATCTTATATCCACTGACCTTATACACAGCTACAAGTTAACCCATAAACAGCCACTATTCTCGCCACTAAAATCACAGATAATCGTTAGCCTTTTCCATCACAACACTTTTATATATATATAATAACCTGGTGAAGGTTAAAAACCTTTAATGAACACCAAGTTCCATATTGGCAGAGAGACGCTCTCCTTGTACACCCTTAAACATCTAGGCACTTTACATCAGCTTCAGGTTGAGAAAATTTATTCGTAACAACTTACACAAATCATCACTGTCAAATTCACATTCCTGACATAAAGAAATCACAGTTCACAGAAATGTGAACACAGAATATGTCACAGAAATCAAACTCACATTTCTAACATAAAGTGAGCAACACTTGACTTACAATTTAAAAGATGATATATATATTAAAAACAAAAAAAGTTTTAAGAGCGCTAAGAAAACTAGAGGCACAATTTATTTTACAAAATTAAGATGATGAGAAGACGAAGGGAAGGAGAATATAACCATATTATGAAGTTTATGAAATGTTGCACATGGGGAGTAGTGTAGGTGTACACTGGCCAACCCGTTCTCGCAAATTTAATAAGTCAATATTGACTTATTAAATATGTGCATAGGTGACATACTTAACATAATAGATACCCTTAAAAAGATTCATAGAAAACACCGACCTTACCTAACCTACTTAGTATGTTAAGATAAGCATCTTATTGCTTCGTAATTACAATTATTACCTAACCTATAATAGGTACAGGTTAAGTAATAATTGTAATTACGAAGCAATAAGATGCTTATCTTAAGATACTAACAAGGTTAGGTAAGGTCGGTGTTTTCTATGAATCTTTTTAAGGGCATCTATTATGTTTAGTATATCACCTATGCACGTAGTTAATAAGTCAATATTGACTTTACGAATTTGCGAGACACTGGCCTGGCCTTCCACCACTACTGACATAGACAACCATTAACTGGGTGCCTCCTGGTGTCTCCACAGAGACCAAGGAGGAGATGCTGCGTGCTGTAGCCTGCAAGAGACCCGAAATGCGAGTGTACGAGAAGTCATCACTTCCAGTCAGGTAGGTACTCCTTAAGACCCTAAGATAACCTTACTTTACCTGTAACTATAACTAGTCCGTAGCTATAATTGGCTGTTTTTATAACCAAACTAAATTAGTATGTTCTCTATTTTATGTATATATGTTTACATCAATATTACCATGAGAAATAATGTTAGGTGAGGTTGAATTGTTGCCAAAATTAATTTCACTGAGAAAATATTGAGATCATACTGCTAAATCGAATTCACATCCTTAGGCTTCCCAGGCACAGGCAATACCGACTGAACCATGATGAGATACATTTCACACAGAAGTATTACATGATTGACACGGAGTTTGGAAGGCACTATCCGGGCACCATAGTCCAGGTTGTACGAGATATAATCCTGGGGGTGATAGCCAGTGTATTCCCAGTGCTGTGTAGGGAGAGAGAGAGAGAGTGACAGAGAGTGACAGAGAGAGACAGAGAGAGAGACAGAGAGAGAGACAGAGAGAGAGACAGAGAGAGAGACAGAGAGAGTGACAGAGAGAGTGACAGAGAGAGTGACAGAGAGAGAGAGAGAGAGAGAGAGAGAGAGAGAGAGAGAGAGAGAGAGAGAGAGAGAGAGAGAGAGAGAGAGAGAGAGAGAGAGAGAGAGAGAGAGAGAGAGAGAGAGAGTAATAACTGTTGCTGCTGCAGGTGGCACATTTCACTCTGAGGGCCCTGTGCACGACGAAATAATTCCACGGGGGGTCGAAGAGTAGATCATTATTTTTGACCTGCATCTCTAGCGGCCTTGGAAAGCAACCCCAGAGAAAGTCAGGATGATTGTCTAAGACATGTTTGCGGTTCCCTAAAGCCTTCATGACGAAACCAGCCACCTACTTCAGTAATAACTGCACCCTTCACCCTACCATTCAGCTATGTTGGAGCAGGCATTAAACGAGCGTTAATGCCTGCTCGGGCTCGTTTAATGTCTCGCTCGCCTCCTTGTCTTACCGAGCGTTGTCATTATATTATGAGTAACGAACCTATCGGCGTGACCTCCAGCAGGCATTGTATCGTAGTACAGTTGACTTCCCTCTAGAATTGGTGATCCTGAGATCGATTCTCGGGCGGGAAAGACATAGTCACGTTGCCTTTCACCAGTAATGAAGCCAAGAAGGACCTGACTAACGTGAGTGTTTCCACAGGTGGCACGTCGGGCAGCAGCGGAGAGTGGAGGACATTGTGTTTGACCTGGACGATGGCTTCCAGGTGGCCAAAGACAACAAATACATCGCTGACGCTGGAGACCACGGCTACGACAACTACTTTTCATCCATGAACGTAAGAGTCCACACTGTCTATGTATTTACGTATGTAGGTTAGCTTAGCATTTTAAAAGCACCGACTCACCTTCTGTGGTTGAGTGTTCAATAAACCCCTGAACTATATGTTTAACACATCTCTAACCCTGTCCATTGAGGACAGAAGAAAATGTATATATCACACACAGAGATCACACTAACGTGATGCATCAAATGAACAAATCCACAAGGGCCTTGACGAGGATTCGAACCTGCGTCCGGGAGCATCCCAGACTCAGTCGATTAAGGCAGTGATGCTCCCGGACGCAGGTTCGAATCCTCGTCACGGCCCTTGTGGATTTGTTCAAATGTATATCCACGTCTGTGGTAGAAAAAAAATTATAACAATAATAAAAAAAACTGTCACTCCCACTCAAGTAAGAGTTGCTGTAGATGCGAGCATCAGTTTTGTGTCAGACTCACTGAGGATCAAGTAGAGCATCGTAGTATATGAGATTATACTGTGGCTCTTCGATGGGATCGAACCCGTATCCCAGGTCTACTCAGGCATATTAGGGTTCAGTCCCTTTATATGGCTGCAATATTTTCTCATTGTTTCATTATGTTTTTATGATTTCATTATACATTCCAGCATATGTTCGCTTTTTTAAGTCTGATAGTTATGTTGCTGAACATCCATAATGGCGCTTAATCTTACATAAAATCATGAGGTCATAAGAATTAGGAAGCAACATAGCAAGATGTTGCCCCAGCCAGTGCTGAACCCGTTGAAATGTACCACTCCCTCTCACCATATACCTATCCAATCTATTCTCGAAACCCATTTTGTCTCAATAATGCTAGCTGGCATAGCATTCCCTTCCATCCACAACCCTCTTTCTAAACTAATACTTCTCTATATTCCTCCACCTCACAGCGCAATCCGTCCTCTTAATAGAACGTCGCATTTTGACGTAAACGCTACCTAAGGCCAAAAATTGTCGTACTAGAAAATGGAAGCGGCTCGCAAAATTGACATATTGACCCGTTTTCTGTTTTGAGTCGTGTGGTAGGTTAAGACAAGAGCACTTTATTTCGATAGTTTCTTGACGTTGGGAAACCTTGGGAGGACGGGCTGCTTTGTCTGTGTGAGCAACTTCACGGGGTGGACCTCTCGGATAGACTTCATTAGACACGTTTTTCTTATGTTGCCATATCTTTACATATATCTTTGTTTTTTGTTTTCACTCCATTATCTTCGCCATTTAGCCTCTGCACGTTTCTTTATTCCTTGTACATTTTTCTTATATTTTCATCCTTTTCTTATGTTTCTTATTCCCGTACATTTCGTTATTCATACATTCTCATACTTCATCCTATATTTACAATACCTAATTCACATACTTCAAACCTTTTCTATATGTACAGTATTTCAATAATTCTCACCTTACTCCTATTCGTCAACCTTCTATCCCATAATCACACACACTTTCATCTACTCATGTTACTCTCTTACCTTTCTCCCACTTTCCCACTTTTCCCACTTTCCCATACACCCACTTTCTCTTCCACTCTTTTGTTTAACGTTACACGGCCCAGGACGAACCGAAGCGTCATCAATTCTTCTATATCACATTTTTGGAATGGATGTCTATTTTTTAGCCACGTTATCGTGACGGATTGTTCACGTTTACTTCATTATTCACTTGACATGCAATTATGCATTTTAAATTTTCTTCTCAGGTTAAAGCTATTTTTTAAAAACTGCTTCATGTGATCATATATTTTTGTTTTGTTATCCACCAAGGCGATTTTCGTGGCTCACGGTCCAGAGTTCCGGCGTAACGTTGAGGTGGAGCCTTTCCAGAACACTGAGCTCTATAACCTGATGTGTGTCCTGCTGGGGGTGAAGCCTGCTCCCAACAACGGTACCTGGGGCGCCCTTCATCACCTGCTGGCCAACCCTCCCCCACCACCATACTCCACACTTCAGGTAGGTCCTCCATGCTGGGGGTGAAGTCTGCTCCAGTAACAAGTGTTAAGCAGTGAACTTCAACAGGTTGACCGATACCGTTGGCAATTCAGAACTCAGCAAGCCACAAAAGAGGACAACATAAAGTAGCTCCACGATATTCGGTTATGAAAGCAATAATGGGATTTAATTATGAAGCAGCTGTGAGAGAATGAGTAAGAGGGTGGACTCGACTAGAGAGAGATAAGTGCCGTTGGCAGTGTTATAAACTCTGGGAATGAGATATTATGAATGGGTGAAGGAACGGCAAAATTAGCTGTAAATGTGCTTTATCATTGTCCAGTATGTTAGTCCATACTATCTGTAGGTCTATATTTATTTAAGATTTCCATTTCCATTTTAACTAAATTAGAGCAATAATCAAGCTTTTCTCTCTACTCTCATTTTCCGGTGATTTCTCTGTCTAGTCAATAATTAAATAGTAACAATTAATATAATTACTAATTCACTTGCTTGTAATAGTCTACTTTAATTATCCAAAAATACCTCCACCAGTATTTTAAACTCACGTTCCTTTACAATGATTCAAGTCACTGAAGACTTAGGGTGACTAGAAGGAAATTCGGCAGAAGAGAGTAAAGTCGAGTGTAAACAATAATTATCTCGCAAGATACAGATAATAAACTAAATATGCAACAATTCAGGTAAGATATAAAGTAATTCAGTAAAGTAAACTTGGAAAGATCGACACTTATGGTAAACATGAATAGGACGAATGAAAGGAATGGTGGCCGCTCACTTTGGACAGTCGGGGGATTGAACGCCGACCTGCATGAAGCGAGACCGTCGCTCTACCGTCTAGGCCATGTGGTTGGGATGGTAAACATGAAGCAACCATTACTTTAGATCTTTTAGGTTAAAAAAAACAAGTTTGCTTCCTTATACTCTATATAAAATCTTGGGCAATCAAGGTGTTGTCTTCAGATCATGCAGGAGGTGAGAATTAATTTTTCCCTATTTTACAATAATAATTTTACAATAATAAAGGACAATTCCAAATATATTAAAAACAATATTAGAAAAACAGCTCACGCCACTCGTTCATATTTCCAGGAGGTCCCACCACCTGTAGCAGAGGTACGCATAGACGACACTCTGGACAACAACTACTCGAACCCTGTGTGCGAGGGAGACCTTCTGGAGGATGAAGAATTCCTTGAGGTATTGCAGGAGGCCCAGGAGGAGGCCCCCGAGGTTATAGCCAAGCACTTGCCATGGGGTATCCCTCAGTTAGGCAAGGCAAGGGACAGCACTCTCCTGCTTCTACAACCGGAGTTTGTCAGCGGTAAGACAGATGAATTTACAACATAATTAAGAGACGTGTAGTGAATATGTTATCATGCGGGCTGCTTCAAGCAACAGTCTTTTAGATCAAGTTATCACAACACAGTTGTGGCCTACAGACTGGACTTGGGGAGTAGATGAACTCTTAAAACCTACTCCAGGCTAATAAATTTATGATGAGCTGCAATTAGTCCCACAGGAATGGCAGGTTTGTCAAGAGTGGTTGACAGATGCTTGGTCATTTGTGTGTTACCAAGGAGTCTCCCAAGACATCTGACGTGTTGGGGGGCGGGAGACTTAAGAGAGTTGTAATTGATCAAAAATGACGGCTGAACCCCATTTGTTGCTGCGTCCACACATGAACAGTGACGCTATTAGTGTTCCACTTGATACAACAGTCCACACATGAATAGTGACGCTATCAGTGTTCCACTTGATACAACAGTCCACACATGAATAGTGACGCTATCAGTGTTCCACTTGATACAACAGTCCACACATGAACAGTGACGCTATCAGTGTTCCACTTGATACAACGACACACTGTATATGCTTATAGTCAGTCAAAACAAATGGGTATTTTGTAAGGAATTCAACACTTAAGTCATTGACCCAATTATTCTGATACTGTGTGATAAACAAGTAACAAATGAGATTTTTGCATTCAACAAAAGTTCAGATTGTGACCGTCTGTGTTTGTCTGCGATGTAGTTAGTTCTATTATTATTCCTCAAATTAACAGTTTTGGGTGAAAAAAATGACTAATTAAAATTAAGTCAATGTTTCAATTTATTTAAGTAAGTCTTGCGACTTGGTAGAACTTTGTCTAGCAGATTTCTTGTAAGTTAAAATAATCTCAGTTTTGCCAACATGGGACAGAAAACATTGATTTTACCATAGTTTTAATGTTTATTTTATTTCACTAAATGTAATATCCTACAGAGCACGTCATAAGAACCTAAGAATAAAGAAAACAGCTTATTGACCCATGCGAGGCAGCTCCACTTTATATCCACCTGAACTCATATATATGTGTAACCTACGCTTGAAACAATCCTGTGATGCCATGTCTATTATGTTACCCGGTAATTTGCTCCATAAATCAGTAACTGTTTCCAAACCCGTACTTTTACCCAGGTCTTAACCAAATCTTAAAACAAATACTAATAAACATTGTCCTCGTTAAGAGTCTATTGTACTCCAACTCTGTTTCTTATTAATGGATTATCTGTTGTATTTCCCGCAGCGTACTCAACCCTGGTGAAGATGCCGCTGTGGACAAGTTTTCACCTGGACCAGACCAACAAAGGGAGCAAGACCTACCTTCCTTGGCGGAGCGACGTGAGGCTCAGAGCGAAGCAGAGGCGCTCCTGTCAACACTATCATTCTCTGGCGCCCCTCAAAATATCCCCTCAGCCACTCTTCTCTCCAAGTGAGTTGACCTGATCTTGTGCCAGGGGGTCATGCCCCCTGAAGGTGAGGGAGTATCAGGTTGATGACTACTACTACGCTATAGTAGCAATGACTACCACGCTATTTTGTGTTATATTTGACACAACTTATTAATGATGTTATTCTTAACTTCAGAGTTCAGTTCAAGAGAAGACTGCGAGCAGCTGCCCTACCTCATCACCAACGCCGTCCCCTTCACCAACTTCCTGACGCAGCGCTGGCAGGAGCTGCTCAAGTTGGTCAAACAATGGTCATATAGGTACAGGACCCTCAACGTCATCACGGGACCCGTGTTCGACTACGACACCGACACCTTCGCTGACGACCTCCGCACTATTAGGTACACCAACTACTCTCTCTTCTCTGCTTTGATTTACCAGGAAAAGTATAATATTTAGTCAATCAATAATTCAACTCACACATGAATAAGTAAAGTGTGGTAGTAATTGTCAATTTATGGTGGGATAATTGTCCAGCAATATAACTTATTGAAGTATCGCTAAAAGTAAACTAGAATGGTATTCAATTAGGCCTAAGTATTTTTTGTTTACACTGCATGATAATTACTTTAAAGTACAAGCAGAATGATGTGATTATTAACTATTAGTGAGTGTCATCTTAAGCATTGTTTACTCCGTATGTGTTACAGGCCTGGTGGTGGAGAGGTGGTGGTGCCGACCCACATGTTCCTTGTGGTGAGTCGGTGCTCAGTGTTGGTCAGCCACGTCTCCCAGTGTCCCCACGACCACCTCGACGCTCTCGCCTTCGTGTACCCTCAGAGCCTCGCTGTCTCCAACTGTCTGGTGAGTCTTGGGTTCCCGTTGTCCGGGATGTGGAGTCCTTCGTGTACCCTCAGAGCCTCACTGTCTCCAACTGTCTGGTGAGTCTTGGGTTCCCGTTGTCCGGGATGTAGAGTCCTTCGTGTACCCTCAGAGCCTCGCTGTCTCCAACTGTCTGGTGAGTCTTGGGTTCCCGTTGTCCGGGATGTGGAGTCCTTCGTGTACCCTCAGAGCCTCACTGTCTCCAACTGTCTGGTGAGTCTTGGGTTCCCGTTGTCCGGGATGTAGAGTCCTTCGTGTACCCTCAGAGCCTCGCTGTCTCCAACTGTCTGGTGAGTCTTGGGTTCCCGTTGTCCGTGATGTGGAGTCCTTCGTGTACCCTCAGAGCCTCACTGTCTCCAACTGTCTGGTGAGTCTTGGGTTCCCGTTGTCCGGGATGTGGAGTCCTTCGTATACCCTCAGAGCCTCATATCTTGCAGGGTCGACGTTCGATCCCCAGTGGTCCCAGAGGTTGGCGATCATTCTTTACGTTCTTATAACTCATCTGTGTACCTATATTCCATACAATTGCTATAGTCATACTGGCTTAAAGTTTTCTCATGGTAATTATCTTAGCTTCACGTTTTAAAGTAGAGAGAGCTAGTCAAAAGAACTATGGTAAACAGGAGAAAAAAAACTTGAAATTTTGTCTAGCATCATATTTTTCCACAGAGTGCAGAAAGATTCGCCCAGGAATTCAGTGCTACAGTCCAAGACGTGGAGAAGATCACAGGTCTTAAGTTTTACCCGAACTTGAACTTCGAGGATCAAGTGAGACTGCAGGTGAGGATTCACTCCAACATCTGGGGCCGCGAGTCGTGGCTCAACAGAATCCGCTCAGATATCGTCACCATCTCTAAATAGATAATGCTGGACGAAGCATTTGCAAAGCATTCGAATTCCCCTTTAAAATGTTGATGGGAATAAACCTAGTAAAGTAGATGTGAGGGAAATGAATCCCAACTAGCCACTTTAAAAAGAATCAGAAACCTGGTGAAGCGGTTTTATAAGATTCAAAATATGTGTTAGGAATGGCAAAGGATTGCAAATATATGAAGTAGGTTAATGGAAACTGATGCCTAGACAGCAGTTTCTATGGAGCCAAACACTCATGAAATCGCTAGGAGACGGATTCTTAACTAAAAAAGTGCCAACACAGACTTTAGAGTAGCCATCCAACCCACAAATTTGGAAAATGAAGAATCGACGACGTTTCGGTCCGTCCTGGACCATTGTCAAGTATGGACATCGGCAATTCTTCATTTTCACATTTGTGGGTTGGATATCTTCAGCCACGTTATAGTGACTCAAACTTCTGCACCTTAGAGTAACAGTGAACGTGTTGAAGTTACGAGAACAAGTATTAATGTGAATGAGGTTCACTGGTGGGGTTGTGGTGTTCAGAGCTACGATTCCTGAGCAATAAGCATGAGCGCTTGTTACTCATTCATTTCGAATCTGAATTTACAATGTCTAGTCACCTCGTGGCATCTTCTGAGTGGCTTTTGAACGCGTCCGTGATGCTTGGCGATATATCTTCAGAGTATATTGTAAAGCCGGTATATTGTAGAGTATATTGTAAAACTCGTATTTCACATGTTGATATGTGAAATACGAGTTACAATTGAATCAAAGCCTGAGTGGAAATAGAGATCGGCAGCGGAAGGGACACGTTTGAACTGGTCGTAGATAAATAGTTTCTGAAAGTGTAAATTCTGTAGATTACAAGTTCGTAGAGTAGAACCTTTTGTAAATAGAACCTGTAAATAAATACGCACTCCTTGTAGACTAGTTCTATTTTGTAGCTATTACACCTGTGTTATATTGAAAATAAATAAAAGTATTAGATTTATGTTATATAGATGTATATAGATGTAGATATTGTGGTTGTTAAGAGTTCGTACACTGCTTTAGAACCAGTATTAGTATGAATTAGAGACGGGACACTACATACTGACGGCCTTTTAGAGTGCAGAAGCCTCTTACGTGTCTAAGCTTTTCACATATTTAACTCTGATAACTATTTCAAAATGTTCATTTATTATACATTCGATCATTATCCTCCCCGCCCCCACATTATGGGGCAGGGAGGCATCAGCTAAGGTTAAAAAAGAAATAGAGTAAATGAAGAATAAAGGTGTTAAAATAATATAATGAATGAACCAGTGATAATTTTTTTATATCATTCACAATACAGCCTACAATATTGCGGGTAAACTAGGTACTGTTATAGACCAGCAGTTGTCCCAACAGCACCCACCGTGTCATGAGCAGATAGTCACATCACTTTACGAAACCCGTACATCTTTCAACAGTCATAGCTTGCTCCTATCATAAGGAAAAAGTTTTGGCTGTCGTTAGAGTTAATAACTTAGCAATGATTTATATTGTGTCCGTGACTAAATGAGACAAAATGTGTACCAATTAGTTATTAATTATTGTAATTATAAACTAGTGTTTATTGTGAGCATTACTGTATATTTATGGGGTTTCCTATATGTATTAACTGGGCAAGATTATACAATAGTGTATTTACTGTATTCTACCCATGTCACCTAACGTTGTATTTTCTAGGGAATAGACCAATCCGTTAAAAAGGCGACATATAAGGGGGAATTGAAGCACCGTGATTTTGACGTTTATATTCTTCGGCCTCGATTGGTTAGGTGGGTTGGTAGGGTTCGTACGTTGGGTTCTCTGACTGCCACTCCGTCAAAAATCCAACCTCCTAACCTAGCCAGAAACCAGACCAACCCAAGCAACCCATCTAACCTATTGGGCCCGATGCATAGAAAATGGGAATATTTGTGAGACGTTATACTTTTCATAGTAGGCTTCATTGGTAAAGTTTGTTGCCATAACTTAAAAAACGCGACATCTAACCACCTGGCCTGGGCGGTAGAGCGATGCCTCGTGCAAGGTCGGCGCTCAATCCCCGACGGTCCGAGACGGTTCTTTCAATTAAAGAAAGCCTATACTATCGGCTTTCAACACCGGCTTAGAAAGCACTAAGCCAATATAGTCATTCTGTCTTAGTGTTTTCCCCTGATAATTGCCGTATCAGACAACACCATGCTGGGTAAGAGTGAATATCATCCTCTTCACTAAACATAAGAGAACATTATGTTTGATATAAAAATACTGAAGTTCATACGATATTCCTATCGTAGTCACCCAAACCACACATGTGAAAAGAAAGTGATCTCGATGTTTCGACCCGTCCTGGACCCTTCTCAAGACGCAACAGACTGAAACGTGGTCACAAGAGTCCAGAACGGACTGAAACGTAGTCACACAAGGGTCCAGGACGGCTGAAACGTCGTCACACAAGGGTGCAGGACGGCTGAAACGTCGTCACACAAGGGTGCAGGACGGACCGAAACGTCGTCACACAAGAGTCCAGGACGGACTGAAACCTCATCACACGAGGGTCCAGCACGGACCGAAACTTCGTCACACAAGGGTCCAGGACGGACCGAAACCTCATCACACGAGGGTCCAGGACGGACCGAAACGTCGTCACACAAGGGTCCAGGACGGACCGAAATGTCATCAATTTCATTCCATGTGTGTAGGTTTGGTTATTTGTATTCATCCACCTTATTGTGGCTTATTCTCTGCAGCGAAGGTGTCCCCCATTTGTTCAACTAAATATACTCCTCTCAGTGACTGTAGAGAAGACCCAGTTATGCTCGCGTAATTGTACGTTCATGTTATATTCAGATATCTATATAAAGATATAGGCGACTGCATAGGTCCACCATAGGCCTATTTGAGGCACCTCTAATTTATACCTAACCAAGCACATTCATATTTGTAAGTATCTGCGTAGGAGTGAGAAATCAAAAGTAATCTGAGAGCTTTCGTGTTTTGACACATCTTGAAGGAATACATTATAGGATGTGATATTAATATACTGTACTTCTTGAGAGTGTTTTAATACACGAAAAAGAGAGTGTTTTAATACACGAAAAAGAGAGTGTTTTAATACACGAAAAAGAGAGTTTTTTAATACACGAAAAAGAGTGTTTTAATACACGAAAAAGAGAGTGTTTTAATACACGAAAAAGAGTGTGTTTTAATACACGAAAAAGAGTGTGTTTTAATACACGAAAAAGAGTGTTTTATTACACGAAAAAGAGAGTGTTTTATTACACGAAAAAGAGAGTGTTTTATTACACGAAAAAGAGAGTGTTTAAATACACGAAAACGCTCGGATTATTTTTTTTTTAAATTTTGGCCTCTGTGTGGATACTCATAGCTGAATCACGTGTTTTTGTGATTATTCTTTGTCATATAAGTCTAACCTACGCTTGAAACAATTCAAACAAACTTGGAAGCTGTCAGAATAAGGGTATGGGATGGTACGGGGGGGGGGGGGGAAGGAATGGTGCCCAACCATTTGGACGGTCGAGAATTGAACGCCGACCTGCATGAAGTGATACCGTCGCTCTACCGTCCAGCCCAAGTGTTTGGGGGGAGTGAGCATCCAGTATATTATTATATCTACTGCAACGTTGCAATAGATGAACATAAGGGTACCTGAAGGCAGCAAGAATGAATGTCGTTCTCATGTATGTTAAACTTGTTCCTGTTGCAAAAATTTAACAACCAATGTATCTGTGCACCAAATTTACTGAAGTCTAAAATAAAGATATTATTATTATTATTATTATTATTATTATTATTATTATTATTATTATTATTACAAGGGAAAACAGAGTAATTTATGTTCTGCTGAGCCTATTACATTTCAGATAAAATATTATACTTTGAAGAAATCCACAAGGGCCGTGTCGAGGATTCGAACCTGCGCCCGGGAGCATCCCAGACACTGGCTTAATCTTAATAATAATGCTTTATTAAGTATTACTATGATAATGAATATGATTTACTTAGAGAAAAGACAATAAAGAGTCAAACGTCATATCAGTAACTGGTATAAAGGATGATATTCCACACATGCAAATGTTGTTGTTGTTATAGATTCAGCTACTCGGAACAAGTTCCAAGTAGCACGGGCTATGGTGACCCCGTAACTTACCTGGCACAGGAGCGGGGCAAGTAGCACGGGCTATGGTGAGCCCGTGGTGGACTTACCTGGCCCACATGCAAATATAACAATGTGTCGTTATACCTCAGTCTGTGTGTGTATGGTGAAGACTGTACCCGTGTAACCTTTCTATGTTGTCATCTATAATCACACGGTAATGATACTCTATAACTGTCTACAACTCTTTGAACCTCCTTATTGGTGCAGTTATTAGTATTTGTTTTCTATTGATTTATTAAGGGGTAATCATCATATATACATTTCGCCTGTCCTACATGGACAGGGTTAGAGAACTGCTACAATACGTAGTGAGTTATGAAGTATTCAACCACTGACGGTGATTGAAGTGTTATGTATAGACCTTTAGTGGCAACCAATCCATCCTACTGATGCATAATCTAGATTTCGTACAGTCAAAATATTGTAAATGTTTGAGACCTCACATAGAAGGACTTTCATGAAATTTCGCTAGTTTTCGACTTGGAAAATTCTGTGATCATCCCTACCCATATCTCAGGTACTACCCTTGACCTAGTCATAACTGTCCTACCTGATTGATTGATTGATGAAGATTAAGCCACCCAAGAGGTGGCACGGGCATGAATTGCCCGTAAGTGGTAGATTTTTTGGAGTGAATTTGATCTTTGGTCGTGAAAGGATATACTGTGTGCTGAGCGCGCATTTAAACTGTCAGTCCTTACTATGTGGCTGCAATCGCGGGGGAGGATACTGCTTGACAGTATTTATGAGGGTCTCCAGCTGCTGGACACTGTTTTTGACCAGAAGAGTGTCAGTGTTGATGGCTTCAAGGTGGTTACTGCAAGATTCGGGGACACTAACCTACCTGCAGGATCCTAGAATATATTGACTCATCAAGTCACCAGACTGCCTTTACTACAGTGGCTTATCCTACAGATTGTGTCGAAGGATAAACTCGCAAAACCCAGCTATGGGAAATTATCAAAATAAAGCGCTAAGCCACTATGATTGTATAGCACTTGGAAAGTATTTGAGAATAATGAGCTGTGTTATGAAGACGGAGTGAAGGAACGGTGCCATCCAGAAGGACCACCGAGAATCGAACCATGGCCCTGTAAGATGCAAGGCTTTTGCTGTACCGGCCAGTCCAAGTGGATAGGCCAATAGGATTAAGGAAACTGGACGTCCCTCGAAGGCAGTGGGACCTGATAAGATCAGCCTCTTCTATCAACTTTCTATCACTTCTATCAACTCTGGCTTAAGGAGTATTGCAGACCGGGTATTGCACTCTGCAACCCTGGCAGTCTCAAGCACTAAAGGCATCTCAGGTTCTCTTCTGCAATAAATAAGTAACTAACTTCAAGATCAGACTACGAATAGTCCTTAAATGGAACAAAATCTGTAAGTTACTATATTGGCGTTAGGGCATGAAGTATAGTAAAGAAAATGCCAACTGCAATGAGGGTCATTAATCAAGCAACCCGTCCTCGCAAAATAACGTCGCTTTTCGCTCGTATGTGCGCTATGGCCCAAGAACTGACGTAATTTGAAATGAAATCGGCTCACGAAAGTGATGCACTGTCACATTTTCTGTTTGGGTCCTTCAGTTTAGTCTGTTAGGTTAGGAGAGGACACTTTTAAATAACGTTTTTCATGACGTTTTGAAACTTTAGAATTTCCTGCCCTCCTAACCTACTAGAAGACCCTTACTGTTTTGGGAAAACAAAATCCAAAATTTATTTTTAATTTTTTTA